TTGATTTTAGACTTTAGTACAATTTTTCTCTGTGTGCTTTATCCATCTAGTAAGCAGTAGAACAAACCTTGCCAATTAACTTTGTCATGCTTTCACTTTAATATTACTTTTGCTAATAACTGCTTTTGCCAATGCTGTTGTCAGTGATTCTTTGAATGACCTAAAACAATCATTTTTGACAACTGCACAAATCATGAGATTATCTTTTTTTCAGCCTCCTATTTCCACCACTATCTGCCTGCCATTTTCTCTACCAAGTGTCACACAGTGCCCCACATGCAGTCGTCCCTTCACTGCACAACCATAGTCTATCTCAAGAGAGAAGGGGGTGGGAACAAAAGGTATATGAGCTGAAGCTTATTATGTCATTTATAATGCCACTTTATATTGGGTGTAGGTGGCGAGGTTTTGGTAGCAGGGCAGAGGGAGGCTGCAGGGCTGGGCTCTGTGGGAAGAGGTCAGGGTCTGGCCCATGCTGGACACAGACAGCCACAGAGAACTGCACCACAGACATACTGCAGGGCACAGCTGAGCCAGGCAGCCAAGCTGGTGGCACCACCAAGGAAATGTATTTAAGAAAGGGTATAAAACATTAAATGAAGAGAGGAGAAGGGAACAAAAAGAGTAAGAAACAAGAGAGGGGACACCAAGGTCAGAGGAGGAAGACGTGCTCCATGGCAGAGAAGGATAGTCGCTGCTGTCCATGACGGACCCACACTATAGCAGATGGATATTCTTGAAGGAACTGCAGGCTGTGGAGATCACATGTTCACTTTTAACTAATAAGAAAAATATGGCACAGCTTTGTTTCAGTGCCAGGTAACAGATTATGGAGAAACTCATACATTCTTAAGGTTGAGCTTTTCAGAGCTTAACAAGGATACTTTTAGACTTATTTCAGTCACTTAGGAACTCTACCCCATGTTAACACTACAGTGGTAGTTTTGCTACGATTCCAGTTTTTTTTTTTTTGACTGCAGGTTCAAGGCTGCAGTGTCTAAAGACTGTATCACAAAAATAAAAATCTGGAAATAAAATTTCCATGCTAGTTTCTAACTATTTTAACCTCAAATACTTTAAAAACTAAAGTTTGCCAGCCACAAGCTGTTGTTGCTGCTGTTCATGAAATCAGGTATTTTGAGAAGCAAACTTTTCAAAATAAAACAAATTTGAAGATGAAGGTTACTTAACCTTACCTTTAGTTCACAGGAAGAAAATTTTTTTCTGTCTATCCAAAATATTTAATTATTTCTGTTATTGAGGTGATGTTGTGTTAAATATAGTTTAGAGAACCCTGCCAAAAAAAATCAAGAAGAATCAGAAAATGATCTGAAACTGAACTCTCTAAATGAGAAACAAATCAATCTGTTTGATTCCAAAAGTAAGTCAGAACTTGGATGGAATCAGCAATAAATCTATTCATCTACAGTGCTGTTGTGCAGGCTAGGGAAAAGGATACCTCAGGAGCCATTACTTTTAGGTGAAAAGAAAGGTAGAAATTTTCTTAGTCTGTAAAAGCAGGAGTGTGCTCACGCTATCTCATCTACTTTGCTCTTAGAACTGAGATGTAGAATGATCACATCTGAAGCACATCCCCTTCCTTATATTTGAACTCTTTATTTTTCTTTCCAGTAATAAATCCCTAAAGCATGTAGTTCAGAGCAACGGGTTTATATGCAGGAAGAATACAGGGTAGAAGTTTAAATAAACTAATTTTTGATCAGATTTGCAGACTTTGCATAATAAGTTAATAGCACATTTTGCTGTACTGCAAATAATCTCAGAGGAAAGACAGAGTCTAAAAAAAGGCTATTTTGAGCCCAAGTGAGGGCGGTATAAACAAAGGAACAGTCGCGATGGAGTTTGTCATATTTACCACAGTGTGATTCTGGATGGGGAAGTTTCCAAAGAGTAGTCACAAAGCTTAAAATTACATAAAGGATAAACCCCTGCAGATGGCAGCAGAGCTTTAAACTTCATCACTACAAGCACAGTGCTTGGTATAGTCGGAGGGAGAGCCCCCTAATGAAGACATTGATTTCCATAGACTATTACAGTGACATGTTTTGCTAGTAGTCAGCATGTTACTGATGCCTTTTTGTTTGGTTGTTTTTTTCAGCTTAAAGGGGAAAGTTTTAATAATTGTGAAGTAGCAGAAGGATGTTTCTGAGCCTTGTGGAATCCCTCCAAGTTCTCAATGCAGACATCTCCTAAGCCTCTTTCAAATAATGCAGGTGGGTTGGGTTTTTTCCAAATATTTTGCATCCTTTAGGTTTGCAGCAAGAATTTGACCTAGATGACTTGAGTCACATAACACATTAGTACTTCTATAATAGCCAGTTCAGTTGTAGGAAAATTTAAGTGACTGTTAAAAAAATCCTTCAGGTGGTAAATACCTAGTTCTAAAGATATAACATCAGAAACAGAATAAACAGGTGTATTCAAATACCTGAAAGGATATACCTGCTGATATACTTGGATATGAAATACTATTTCTTTTACTTTTACTAGCTCTGTTGTCCTAATGTGATTTCTTGAGCCTGTCATGCTGCATAGGCTCAGGCACTTTCTTCCTTGCTCTAATGTCTTTACCTCTTTTTTTCTACTTTTCTCACCAATGTTAATCCGTCTTGTAGTTTATATCACCTGTCTTTACACCTCCATCTTTACACCTCCATCTTTGGAATTTCTAACATTCAGATTTAATAAGATAGAAACAACCCAGGAGGGTTATGATCAAATAGATCCTAGGGCAGGATCTTTAAAATGTCTTTATTTTGTAGTAGTCCCTTTACACTTAAGGAATAACTTAGTACCCGTTATGTTTTTGCTGCATTTAAATATTTTAGCTCTTCTTCCTCTGTCTTCAAGGAAGAAGCTACTGTTTTCACTGGCATTTCTTTACCTCTGTGCTTACATTGTAATTTATTTAGGACAATGACAGTGTCTTCAATATTTTATGTACAAGGTGTCTGCATATACTGCTTGATTGAATGACTGATTGTTAGCAAATGAATGTCTATTTTGACACGGTTTCTTGTCTGGATTAATCAAAAAGATGAAGTATGAAATAGTTTACTGGTAGGCTAAGTAAGCATAGTGTATGAAGATTGAATATGTTTTTGTTACCAAAGCATAGATGTCTCAACAGCAATTTTGAAGTGCATGGATGGGACAGCTCTGTTGGGTTGTTCAAAAGATTTATTTCTTCAAGACAGTAAACTTTTGCCCTCTGCTAAAATCTGCTCAGTGTATAGCTAAATACCTTCAAACCTAATCTGGTCCTGGGCTTTTTGTTAGTATTCCACTTCCTGTCCTCTAATTTTGTATAGTGTTACTGAATGCTAAAGATTCTTGTGTTTTAACAGTAGGGAAAATTGATCTCTGTAAAGGCTTTGAAATGCTTCTAGATGAAAGATGTTATGTAAATTGTCACCAGTTTTACTATTTCATATACTGTGAACTGATGAAAGACAGAAAGGGAATGACAGTTACCTCTTAATATAATATAAAACTTGCCTTAGGTAGGACCACTCTGTTTCCTGAACACTTCATTCAGTCCCGGTGGAAAACCAATGGTGGCATCTGCTGTTTTCATAACAACTCAAAGAAGATGCCGTGTCTCTGACTGGCTGGCTATCCCCAATGGCAAAACAGCAAAGAAATAATGTGAGAAACAGCTCTGCTGAAAATAACTTCAGTTATCATCACTGAAGCACGTGGATTCATTCCTACTATAGGTCTGTTTCCCCTACAGCAAATCCCTTCTCCCATAGCAGTGGATTTTGCTGCCATGACTCTCTTGGGCATTTCAAGTTTCTTTTTTTTTTTTTTTTACTGCTTAAGGAGCATAGGAGGACATGATAAAGGGGAAGGGAGAAGCTGTTAAAAGTAATATGGCATTATGTGACAAAAAGAATAAAAAAGTAGCTCAGCTTCTTACATTTACTGGAATCCTATAATTCAGACACTTATGAAAATTGTTTCCAGTTTGTTTCTGTTCACATCAGTGAGAGAGAATGAGGGGGAGAGAATATAACAGCACTGTATCATAGCCACTTTGTTGGAAATTCCACAGTAAGAATAGTAAGGGAGAAATGAACAAAAGCACAGGTAACAATAACTGTGACTGAAAATCTGCACAGGGCTAGCAGTGTGGCCCAACAGAAGGCATCCCTAGCACCTCTGAGAGCAGCTAACCTGTGGGTAAACCTGAATACTCACCCACTTATCAGTCGATTAATAAAAAATTAGATGAACTGTAAAATTTGAGACCCCTGCAAAATAAAAACATACTATGGCCAAGAAATCAAACAACAGCTGCCCGAAATGGTAACTGATCACAGTTTATAGCAGAAGTAAAAACCCTTTTCAACTGACAAGGTGAAATATTAGACAAAAAGTCTAGTTAGACCAGGTAGTTCTACAATGTGGAGTTGAGTAGACCAGTATGGAGTAACAAAAAAATTTATGATGTATCAAGGCAACAACAGAAGCCTTTCAAGAGGAAGCAGAATTAGCTTCCACTGTCTATGAACAAAGTGTTTCAACTAATCTTGAGGAAATTAAACATCTTGCAAGCATACCCAGTAGCAATGCAAGACCTGAAAATGTTAATTTGAAACTACCTGTCAGTTTGGGCAAGAGTAATTAAACACAGAAAGATCTGAGACAGCTCTGAAAAGCCTTAGCAGTCAAATTTTGCAGCCAGGTGTTTGTGTGTAGATCTATGTTTTTATATATATAAGTGTGCATATGTATATGTATAAATATATATATATATTTGTGTGTATATACTTACACAAAAAATATAGACAGATTTTATCCTCACTGGATAATTTTTAGAATAACTGGGAGAAGCCTCAAGAGGCATCACACTCAAAGCTGAGATCAAGAAATGAAGAAGCAGAACAGGAGTATAATATCAAGGTGTAGATTTTTGTCTGTCACTTTCAAAATTATGGAAAGATGACATACGCTTGGATTATTGCTACGGCCACTTCTAGAATTGTTAAGAGGAGTAGAATTGTTATAGTTAGAAGAGACACGGTGGGTATAATGGGAAGGAGGACGGTAGTGGCTGTTGAAATGAGTTGGATGAGTAGGTGTCCAGCTGTGAGGTTGGCTGTGAGGCGAACTCCTAAGGCTAACTCCCAGATTGCAGTGGTGGCAGATTCAAACAGGTGCACCAACACAGAAGCACAAATCAACATGTACAACAACAGATATTTTGAAAATTATTTGTGGGCAGGGAAACAGCACTATGAGTAGATTGGTGGCTTGGGGATTCATTTAAATGACCAAATATTTAGAATTTTGTGGGGGGGAACTGTGTGGAAAACTATTATTTTTTTTGTGAGGTAGTCAAGGAACTAATTTCACAACCAGGGGATAGGCTGCCTAAATAATAAGAAATATAATCCACTGAAAAACGGGTTTTCAGTGTACATTTCCAAACCAAGAGACACAGGCGACCCTGATGGTGGCCATATGGAATACTACAAAAGCTCTAATGTAAATACTGTTAAAAGGAATGCTGTGTCCAGTGGATGGTTACACTTTCTGAAAGGGCGCATGGTTACTCATTAAGGGCATATGGCTTCACATCAAATACAGATATAAAGAAATTAATGGACCATTGGCCTGATGTGCACTTCTCAAAGCTCATGAGTTTGTGTTTCCAGAGTTTTGATGAATTCAATTCTGAAGTAGAAGCAGCCAGATCCTAAAAAGAACCTGTACCCAAATACTGCCCAAGTTCGGTAACATTCACATTCAGAGAACTGATATAGACCCAAACTCCTATTTTGAAAACTGTTGTCTGTTGAATGGAGGAGAGCAAGATTTGTCTGAACCACATATTTGAAATGCTGCTCTGGTACCACACTGAGCACTTGCATAGCTTACATCTTCCTTGACTTGTATTGGCATCATTAGAATACTTAAATATTTAATGGAAAGGACATATTATGCCACACTTTTTGATGAAAAAAAGCATTAGCATCGAAGGAAAAGTGGACAGGCTGAAAAACAATTTAAATAAAATTAATGACTGTGAGCAGAAATAAATGTTGAAAAAAGTATTCATCATGTCAAAGTGATACCAGGTTAAATTGGAAACTATTTAAAAGATATCTGGTGGAAGGAAAACTGCTGCAGGTCTTGGAATGCCAAACCTGGCAGAGAAATGAGCTGGTACTGAGGATCCCTCAGGAAGAAGGCACTTAATAATTGGGGAACTGACGCACTTCTGCCTTGTGAATTCTGCCAGCAGGTTTGCTGCTGCAGGCATGTACAGAAGGTTTCCAAATATTAAAACATTGAATCTTGCAGCAGCACTTTTCAAAATAAGAAAAATGGTTAATATGGCCTGGGGAAGGAAAGGCACAGGTGTGAAGTTACAGAACCACTGGGAAAGAAGCAGGGAACACGGTCCTGTAAGCAACCAGATGTAAAACATAGTATTTTTTAATTCCTCGGTGCCATTCTCAGAGTCGAATATATTGGGCTATGCCTGCTCATTCACAAGTAGTAGAGATTCAGACTGTCTGACTGCTTCCTTCTCCATTGATCAGCCAAAAGAAATGAAAGCAGGGAAAGAGGGAAGGTCTATCTCAAACACTTTTGGAGGCTGGAGATATGTATTGTAGCTTTCCTGATGGAGGTAATATCAATCTTCTAGTGACTGAGATTTTAGTGAAAAGTTTCACATAAAGTTTTCTTGTACAAAACAAAACTTGAGATTTAGGTTTGGTGAAAACATGAGTATTACTGTGTGCAGCTGAGAAATATTGGCTTTTTGTCAGTTATCTGAAGTGATTTTGACAATCCTGAACACAGATAATAATTTTAATTAAAATGTTATATTACATTATAATAGATATTATGTTGAATCATTAAACAAACCTGTTTCCCTGCTGGCCTATCACCTTCTCTCTGATGTATTCTTACAGTTTTGAGCCAGAAGGAGTCAAAAAACAAGCAGGTTTTCATTATGATCCCTGTAGGAAAACTCTCAGATTCTGCAAAGTATCTGTTAAAACACTTTTCATTTGAGCTAACACTATAAAGAAAGAGAGGATGGTATAGATAATTCTACACCTCTTCAGATGCTGGGAACCCTGAGTTGCACAGCATTGACAGGCCTCCAATCAGGACACAGCACGCTGTGCAGATCCCATTCATGGAAAGATTATACGGCGTTTTGGCCTTTGAGCTCTTGCAGGATTTTCTTAAAAGAAAACAACTCTATTCATCATTTCTATTGTCAAGCAGAAAGTTCTTATGAGGACTTGTTGCTGCACTTTTTAGATAAAGGTGAGAACAGGCAGGTGGTGCAGCTACTGTTGCTGAGTGGGAGCTGCCCGCGGGTCCCTGTTACCGCTCCCCGAATGACTTTTTCCTGCGGCACAGGGACACACAACATGACACCACCCTGAAGGCCAAGCTATAAGTGGTACATGGCACAACACAGCCCTGTGCCTACTCAGGTTAACTGTGAAGTGCTGCACAATTATCTTCCGGTTCTGATCATTCCGCTTAGGAAATTCAGAGAACAGCTAATTGCATACTTCCCTCCCTCTCTCATACATCTCATCCTTTTCTATTATTGTCAAGGATTGAGCTATCATTGGGAACATGTACATTTTTTCCCCTCTTTTGTTAAACAAGGCTTTAGAACAATTGCAGTAGGCAGATTCTTCAAGAATTAATTTCAGGTTTTACAATGCATGTGGTGCAAGTCTGGAAAAAATGTTCAGAATTTTAGTCAGCCTAGGAAAGTTTCCAGTTTGGCTGAATTTACCAGATTTAGCTTAATACTTAGTCATTAATCTTAGTCAAGGGTGTGATACAACCTCAGACAAACTGGCACCCAATACTGTTTCACGTAGGTGCTATAGAATTTCTTTTCTTTATTATAGAAGCTTTCTATGTTTGTTGTTTGGGGTTTTCTGTTTGTTTGTTTGTTTGCTTGGGGATGTTTTGAGATCACCCGTCTCAATGAAAACTAAGCTGTTCCTCTTGTTTTCCACAGTCCTTTGTTGTCTTCTTCCTTACCAGATGGCAAAGATTTTATTATGCCTTTTCACTGCCCAGATGGATAAAATCAGCCCTTCATATTGTTCTAGTTCTGTCTTTTTGTCATTTTCTGGAGTAAATTTTTCTTCTTTGGTCCTAGCAAGGAATGCTAGATTGACTTTGCAAAATTGTTGTCCAAGTTTATACTATTCTCCATTTCCTATCAGCATGTTGTTTACTTATATACTTGATGCTTTTTCATTGCAGCTTTCAGATGATGACTTGTCAGTACAAGGAATTGAATCTGATTTCATATGAAAATTTACAGAATAAGACAAGCAGTTAGGCAATTGAAAAGGGATATTTCTAAAAATGAGCTTTATTTAGGTTTTGTGGGTTTTTTACCTTGACAGGTTTTAACAGAAAAGGTGGAGGTGTAACAAAACCACAAAACTGATCATTAAGCATTCAGTTTCTTACAGTCCATCCTCTAATCACTAGGTTCCAAGCTATGCTGCCACTGAGACTTTTCTCCCCTTTAATTACTAGTTTCTGGGTATCTTATTTATTAAGCATCTGAGATCTAATTGTTCAGCCATATTTTTTTAGTTAACTCCTCTTTTACAGCAGTGCAGGAATAAGTTGTTTACTGAAAACTAGACACACCTTTGTATCCTATTGCAGTTCTGTGTTGCAGCAGTATACATAAAACATATGGTCGATACATAAGCAATGGTTCTTAGTTATTTTAGGTTACTTACTTTCTTCAAAGGTAAATCAACGGTGTTCATCTTTCTTGCATAACAAAGTCTTCCTCATAGAGAAACTTTAAGAAATGAGAACACTAGAGAGACTGTGTTTCTGTTAAGAACTGTTTGCTAAACTTTCCTAGCCATTTTAGAAGCTTGCTTACAATCTTCAGCTTACCACACAGATGTTCTGGAATAACTCATATTGGGAATCTGGGTTTATGATAGCTCTTGGCTCATCCCAGTTATAATAATTTAATCACTAATCCTTATTTTAGTAATTTTAAGTTGAGGTAAGCCAGTATAGTATCTCAGAAAAAACTGTTAGAATAAACACAGTGCTAACAGTTGCTAATGTTTTACATAGGGGGTCACTTATTCCCATTTTTAACTACTTTGCTTTAAATGTTAATTGCTGCCTGGAGCACTGCTTACAGTCATGCTCTCTTTTTGAGGTTAACTGCTGTTAGCAACAATGGAAAATTTTAGTTGAAAAAAAATATAATTAGAGACAGAAAGAAGAAAAGCACTTTAAAGGAATTACACTAATACTTCCTACTTCCTTGGAAATGCTATAATTTGTCAGTCAGATTTCTACAGAGTACCAAGTATATAAATTCACAGTTCCTGTGTAACCCGAACTTCCATTTAAAAGGAAAGAGACATATTCTCTGGGTCAAGTATGTCTATGGGACATGTTCAATATAAGTACTTTATTCAACTGATATCCCCAAAACTACACTCTTGTAACTCTGACCTGTGGTAAAATTTCTTCCTAAACCTCAATTTGAGAAGGAGTTAAACCTTAAGTGTGAGAGCTAGACATCAAACAATGGAGAAACTATTACTAGTAGAAACATTTATAACTGTCAATGCTTCAGGAAAGGTAAAAAAGACACTACTTTGAGGAGCTGAATTATCCATCCAGCTGGAAAATGGCCATCCTCAGGATATCCATCTAGGGACACAAAAGTAGTCAAGGGCATCCTTGTATGAGGAAGGGAACTGGGATTGGTTTAGTCTGGAGAAGAGAAGACTCAAGGAACATCTTGTCAAATTATATAAATATCTGATGAGATGGTGCTAAAAGGATGGACCAGACTCTTGTTAATGCATGGTGACAAGAAACAAAGAGTACAAACTGTAGGACAGTAAAAGAAAACACTTCTTTGCTGTAGTTGAACTCTGGAACCTGTTTCCTGGAGAGGCTGTGAAGTCTTCGTCCTTGGAAATATTCAAAACTCAACTGGATGCAGTCTTGGGCAACCTGCTGTAGCTCACCCAACTTGAGAAGAAGGATTGGACTAGACAAGCACGAAAGGTCTCTTCCAGTCTCAGTTATTCTGTAAAAAATAAACACAGAGTCCTCAACTTCCATCTTCCTG